GAAGTGGGGACAGATCCCAGCCCCTGCCACGCCCTAGCTCCCCACCTTCTCAAAGACAAAAGGCTCCTCCTTCCAGACAGGATTGATGGAGTTGGCACTGGGTGACAGCTTGGTGCGATAGCGCCTCTTGGGGTCCCCGGGAAGGCCAAAGAGTTCCACTTCCACATATGTGCGCACACTGCGATCCGACAGGAACTGTCCAGAGATGACCTGGGGACCCACGGGAGGCCAGCCTCAGCTCTCTACCACCCCCCACCCAGAGCTCTTGCCTCTAACCTAGAGCCTCTAGCTCCTGGAGCTGAAGCACCTGTTCTTGGCTACTGTGAAGAACCCCATCCAGCTGGGGCCATGTGGCTCAAGGACTTCGGCTAAGCTCTGGGCCACTAGGTGCTTCCAGCATTCAGGGAAGAGGCATGGGCCTCCCCACCTCCCTCCCCAAGCAAGGAAGGAAAACAGCACCCTCCCTCCCCGAGGGCCTGGGGCTCCTGCAGCCCCACTCTGCCCACTCTTCTCCCCTCCCCCACCCCAGCCTCAGCCCTTCCCCTTGGTTTCCATGGGGACCAAGAGGCAGCCTCCAGTGCTGAGGAGGAGGCAGTTTCCAAGGCAACTCTCTACTGTGAGAACTGGCTTGGGCTGAAGTTTTCAGGATATCAGGGGAGGGGGTTGGGAGTGGAGGAGTAGAGCTCCTGTGTCCCAGCCCTCCCGGCCACATGTCTGTCTCAGGGGCTTGCCGTGATGGAAAGGGTGGTGGCCACCACCACGTCGATGCGGTCCACTGAGAAGGGGTTGAACTGCTTGTCCGGCCGCCGCATGAACTCATGCTTGAGGAGGTAGCCACTCTGCCCGTTGAACTCAAACAATGCCATGTTCTGCTGCATGGGCAGGTCTGGGGAGGGGGGCGGGAGACAAGGGCACTCTGTGAGCAAGGCCCAGCCCCAGGTCTACACCTAGTCTCAATCTCCTATGTCCCTCAGCCTCTCCCGTCTTGTGGAACGGGAAGCTTGGGTGGACTAGAATGATGAGGGCTTCTCATGACCCAACCTGCTTCTCTAGGGTGTCTCATCTCTCAGGAAGGCTCCACAGGTGGAAGTTAGCGGAAGCAAGGCCACGGTCGGGCCATTACTCACAGTGGAGGCTGAGGCCAGTGAAGCCAGGGTTTCTGTGGGCTCATTCAGGCACAGCAGCCAGAACTTGGGCCAGCACTCTGGCCTCATCACATGTGTACGCACTCATACACGTGCCATCATATAGGCATGAGCCAAGGCATTTATATCCCTAACCGCTCACATGCCCGCATGTGCTACCACAGCCTCAGCCAACCTCGGGACTCCAGGTCTGTTCTAAAGACAACCCCCCAGGAATGGGGTGAAAGTAAGAGAGGCAGAGAGCGGGTGCAGGTTCTTAGGGGCCTCAGTGTACCCTCACCCATTGTCTGGAAGTTGAGGGCCACCATCTGGCAACCGGCGTTCCAGAACATCTGGGGCATATAGTTGGAGGAGTCCATGCGTGTGCCCTTCGGGTAAATGCGGCTCATCTGGCGCTTGTTGTAGCTACCTGGGAGTTGAGGAGCTAGCCCGAGGCCGTCCACCCCCGAAGGACCCAGCAGCTCCCTCTGTGCACCCTGTCCCCAGGCCTTCCCCACCCCACCGCCCCACCTGGGGACCCTGGCTAGAGAGGCCTCAAGGATACTCCACGAACTGCACTGAGGCCTTGGAGAGCAGGTCATAGGCCTTGAGCTCTGTGAAGGACGAGATGACGTAGCTTCTGTTTTTCTCTGTGTGGGAGAGAAAGGGGGGGCTGTCAGGTGGGTTCCCCACCCACCCCCGCCCTCCTCCCTGCCCCCTTCTGGGGTAGCTCCCTCCAGCGCAGACATCCCTTCAACCTAGCAATCCCCCCAGGCTCGAGTATTGAAGAGGCCAAACTGCTATGCAGTCTGGGTGGGGAATGGCGCACTGGGGGTGAAGGATATGGGCGGGAGACATGCACGCGGAGGGGGTGTGGCCACAGTTCTGGAGGGTGAGGGGCGCAAGCCTGGGATGGCACAGAGAAGGGGAGCCCAGGGGGTCAGGAAGCTGGCAGGATGTGCAGAGGGTGAGCGCGCAAGCTTTGGCTGAAACGTGAGGGTTGGGGGCATGGGTGGGAGGTGTACACCGGGTGGCGGGGGCAGGCATGCCCGGGGTGGGCCTAGGTGGGGGCTGCAGACTGCGGGTTCCAGGCCCTAGCAGTCAGTGTGGTAGAGGCCTACACTGCACAAGTGTGTGTAGAAAGAGGTGTCCACGTCGGGGGCACGCCCAGCTGAGAAGAGCAGTGAAGCTAAGTAGCGTGGGTGCACACAGAGAGGGAGGGGTGCGAGGGAGGGGCAGATGAACCCTGGCCGGTTTCTCTGCCTTGTGGCCCTTCTCTGGAGCTCTGATGCCCGGCGGGGTCAGCGATCCTGGGCGTGGTCCAGCCCGAGGCACCATTTGGCCCCTGGGAGCCGCAGAGCCTGCAGGAGGCTGCAGGAGCCCCAGGCCAGTAGGGTTCAGATGGCCTGTCCTAAGTGGCCTGCCTGTCACAGAGCATTCTGATTGGTGCCAAGTTCCTCAGTACAGCACAGGGAAGCTAGGAGCCACTGCCACTTAAAAAAGCCCTTTGCCTGCCTCCTCTGCTGGCTCTTTCTATAAATAGAGCCCCCACGTCCAAGGAAGGGGGGAATCCCTTTTCCCCTTCCTCCCACCCATCCAGCTGCTCTGCTGTCAGGACATACTTTTCAAGGGCCTTCTCCTGAGTCCAGCCTAGCTTCCAGCTTAGCATTTTCCTCCCACCACGTGCTCACTTACGGGCAGAGAACTCAAAGGAGATGAACTTGGTGGGCTGGATGTAATTCACTAGGCTGGACATCTCCTCATAAGCTGTCACCTCTAGGCCTGCTGTGCCCTAGGGAGGAGAGGGGAGGATGGAGAAGAGGAGGGCAACCCAGGGAGGTGGCCCCATGCCAGCTCCTGGAGGGCTCCGCCCTGGGGACAGCAGGAGGGGTTCGGGGCTGCCCCCTACACACCTCATCCGACTGCATCTTCTTGAGCTCCTCCTCATCCAAGTTTCCCGACTCCTCCTCCTCCTCTTCCACCTCTTCCTCCTCCGGCTCTGCCCCGTCCTCACCAGCCCACACTGCCACACGCACATCCATCAGCACTGGGACCACAGTCCCTACACGTGGCCTCCAGGCCCAGCCCCTCTCTCCCCCTCTAGGCGTTTCCACACCCCGACCCCTCGCCACCCAGGCTGACTCACCTGGGTCCTCTCCCACAGAGGCACTGGGTGGGCAGCTGTTCTCAGCACCCCCACCCGGCTCCTTGCTGGGGGTTGCTGGGACAGAAAACTGGTTCTTTTTGTTCTTGATGAGGATCTTGCCTCGGAGATCCTCAGGGCTTGGCAGGGGGATGCCTGGTTTCAACTGTGGAAGAGAGGAGATGGTCAGCACCATCTCCATGCCTTCAGGGTGCAGCCTAAGCTCCTTCTTCCCAAGCTGTGTTCCGTCTGTCTTGCCTGTTCTCCTGCCCTGCTTTGCCTCCCACAATTTCCCCCATCTTGTGTGGTGCTCCTGCCATCCCAACTTACCCAGTTCCTCAGACAACACTCTTCTCCCTCACCTGCCTAGAATACCATTTCCTCACTCTCATCAAGATAAATCCAGTAACCCCTTGGATTCCAGTTTGCCATCCTTTCCTCCAGGAAGCCTTCCCTGATGCCCAGGTACTCCCATAGCAGCCACTGGTTGCGATGGCTTGGTTACTTGTTTGTGTCCCCACTAAAGGTGAGTGACCTGAGAGCTAGGACTGTGTCTTTGTCACTAACAGGCCCCTTAAAGCCCAGCACAGTGCCTGACACATGGTAAGTGATAAGATCCTGGCCCCACAATCTTCCCAGATAAATCCCAACATCCTCTGGGGACATCTGCCTCCTTAATCTGGTCACCACGCTGCCCCAGGCCCCCTGCCCCCAGGCCCAGATGTCCCATAGCGAAGTCCACTCACTGGGAACTTTTCCAAGGGCTCTGTGAGCAGCATCTCCCCAAACGTCATCCGGCAGTATTCAGCCATCTTGGCCTGTTGGCGGGGTCTGCAGGGAGCAGAACTGACTTAGGGTTCAGCAGCTCCACCCCCTCTTGTCCATCCTTCTGGACCCCTGACCCAGGTCATCTCATTGAGGACGCAGGGAGGTAGGGACATAGGCAGCAGAGCCTGAGGTCCTGAGGAACTTGTATGCACACCCTGGGCGATGGGAGAGCTGCAAGGCATGACTAGAGGTGGGGGAGGGTTGGGGGAAAGCAGCTGCAGGCAGGAGATGGGGACAGGGGAGAGAAGGAGGCCGGGGACAGGGGAGAGAAGGAGGCCGAACAGGTCTGGTCTGATACGCACGAGTCCACATGGTTTTCAAATGACAGGATGACAGGATAGGGGGAGGTCTTAAAGGCACTTTCCGCAATGGCTTCAATTGCTTCCTGGAGGAGAAGAGGGCTGGGTGGGGAGGAGGTCAGTGGCCCAGGTCCCTCCTCACCCACCCCACTCCACCCCTGCCCCCAGCGGCACCCTTCTGCACTCCCCAGTTTCAACATACAGAGAACTGGAGGGCCCCCATTGGCCCTGTCTCCTCGGGTCCCCTTTAGTCCCCTCACTGATCTGAGGCCTCCTAGCCATCCTTTTCTGTTTTCACCCGCTCCCCTAATCCCTACCCTGGGGCCCTTCCCTAGTGCCACTGCCACCAGCTTCCATGCCTGCCCCGAGTCTGACCTTGAAGTAGATGTCTGTGGTCATGGTGAAGCCATGGGTGATAATGGGCTCCTCGTCAGGGGGCTTGCCCTTCCAGCAGTCCAGCTCCACGCAGCGGCAGCCGGCCAGCAGCACCTGGCGGTACATCTCGGCCGACGACAGGCCAGAGAACTGGCCGGCTGAACCAGAGCAGAGGGGAGAGGCCGGTCCAGCTTGCCCCTGCCCACTCCCACACTGTCTGTCCTTTTGCAGCCCGCGGGCTCGCCCCGCAGAGGGATGGATTCAGGGGAACAGGAGCCGCACCCCCACCCCAAGAGGAGAGAGCACGCCGAGGTCACCCTGGTCACCTGTCAGGTAAGTGTTGTGTGAGGAGTTGATGAAGTAATGGTTGAGGGGCTGCGTCATGTCCTGGTGGAGAAGCAGCTTGTCCTGGGCCAGCACGCTGTTCTCAGGCCCGCAGAGAAACCACACCATGCCCTCAGGGGAGAGCTGGCCTGGGGGTGTGGGGCAGAGGCCGGAGAGGAGAGCTGTCAGGGCTGCAGCCCCTGGGCAGGGCGGGTCAGGCCACAGAGGGGAGGGTCTCCCTGAGTCCTCACCCCTCTGCACGTTGATGCCACTGGGCTCATACTTGTCGATGAGGCCCCGCACCTGGTCAGGCCGCGCCAGCGGAAACAGCAGAGAGTTGAGACGGGGGTCCCTCTGTTTCTGGTTGATGAACTTGGTCAGGTGTTCTTTGGTCATGTAAGGTTTGGCCTTGGCATGGCTGCAAACCAGAGAGGGCACAGGTCTGTGGCCCCCCCCCAACCCGGGGCTAGAGAGCACGGACAACCGTCTTCTCCAGAAAAGCCACCTAATTCCCAGCAAGGCAAGGGGGATTTTAGCCACCAGCCCTTCCCCAGGCCCAGCCCAGCCACGGAAGCTCACTAGGAAGTGAAGATCTCGTCTATTTCTGGTCGAGGACAGAGGCTCATGAGGAAACTCTTGTAGACGGATTCTGGGAAGTCCTCAGGATTGATGGCATCGTTCTGGGGGAAGAGTGACCTGATCATTGCTGCACCCACATTTTCCATGCTAAAAACCACAAATGAGGCCCAGACCTGTACAAGAGAGCCTGTCAGAGGGAGGGCTCAGGGCAGGCAGAGCAGCATGGAGCTGGCTCCTGAGCACCCACTTTTCAAGGGGCTGGTTGCTGAGCAGAGAACATGCTGAGCTGGTCTGTCTTGCCCCTGAACTTGGACACTGGCTAGTCCCTTGGCTGGGGCAGGATCAGAACTAGGAACAACCACAGAAGGAAGAAGAAGGGGTTAGAAGTAAGGAGGTCTGCCAAAGCTGTGGGTGGTCTTCTTTCTTTCTTTCTTTCTTTTTTTTTTTTTTTAAGATTTTATTTATTTATTTGATAGAGATCACAAGTAGGCAGAGAGGCAGGCAGAGAGAGAGAGAGGGAGCAGGTTCCCTGCGGAGCAGAGAGCCCGATGTGGGGCTCGATCCCAGGACCCTGGGATCATGACCTGAGCCGAAGGCAGAGGCTTTAACCCACTGAGCCACCCAGGCGCCCCGTCTTTCTTTCTTTTTAAAATAGAGGACAGATGTTCCAAAAGAGGCATCTCGAATAGAAACAATGCACCTAACAGCAGAGCCCCGCAATGCATGAGCAAAGCCTGACAGCAATGAAGGGCAAATAGACAATTCAACAGTAGTGGCTGGAGGCCCCAGAAAGCACGAGGAGCAGCCACAGAAAAGACAAACTGGACTTGATCCAAATTAAGAAGTTTTTGTTTTGTTTTTTTCAAATTAAAAACTTCTGTGCTTCGAAGGATAGCATCAAGAAAGCGAAAAGACAGTCCACAGAAGAGGGGGAAATATTTGCAAATCAAATATCCAGGAAGGAACAACTCAACAGTAAAGAGACAAAAAAAAACCCAGGGGAAAGACAGGCAGAAGATTTGAACAGACATTTCTTCAAAGAAGATATGCAAATGACCAGTGAACACATGAAAAGTTCCTCCATCTCGTTAGTCACTTGGGAACCGCAAACCAAAAACACAAGGAGATACCACTTCACTCCCACAGGACAAGTCCGATTCTAAAAAGACAGACAATAACAAGTGTCGTTGAGGAGACAGGAACCTTCGGACATTGTCGGTATGATGGTACAGTGGTCAGTCACTTTGGAAAATGGTTTGGCAGTTCCTCACAACGTTAAATATAGAGTCTCCATGTGACCCAACTATACTACCTCTAGGTATAGAGAGTGAAAACATACATCCCGACAAAGTTATGCACTCAAAGGTTCATAGCAGCCTTATTCGAAATGATTAAGATGTGGCCACAACCCAAAGGTCATCAGCTGATGAACACGGAAGCAAAAGGCGATAACTCCAAATCCCAGGATATCACTCAGCGGTGAAAAGGCACGACGTGCCGATCTGGACTACAGCGCGGAAGAACCCTGAAACCCTTATGCTAAAGGATTGAAGCCTGACGTCAAAGGTCACGTAGTCCGTGATGTCCAGCTTAGGCAACTTTACAGAAAGAAACTGCAAGGAGATTAGTGGTCTGTAGGGCATCTGTGTCTTTGCATTCCAACCCAGAAAAGCCCCTTAAACATAGTCCAGGATCTGGAAGGGTAACATCAGGCTTAATTTGGAGCTAGAGCAGAGGGTCTGAACAAGAGAGCCCGACCGTATCTCCCTAAGACTGGATCTTGGACCCATTGGCTACAAGCGAAGAGGGGTCAGTGACTTCTACTGGGACACAAGGAGAGCTGACATGTAAGAAGGATGGCCAAGGTGGGAGCTCAGAAGGCAGGAGAGGAGGGTAGAAGTGTAGTAGAGGTCCTGGCAGCAGGGCTGTCTGCAGGAGCCCATTCCCACCCTTTCTCCACCCTCATGCTTGCGTTCCTGTGACCTTCAACATCAAGAGGGCACCAGAATGCTTGAGCTGTGACTTAAGAGGGAGGAGTCTTCCTGGGCCCCTTGTGGACAGGTGACGGATGAGGTCTTAGTTTTATTTACAAATTACAAATTCTTATCATGAGGCAAAAGCCCATGGGGTGCAGGTGGTACCCCATACACAGGCTCTGGCCAAGGGGGCCCAGGGGCCTTGAGATCCACTTCCCTAGCCAGGCGCAATCCCTGGGCTCAGGGCTGTATCTGCCCAGAGGGCTCCTTTTTGTAATCCACAGAAGGTCCCTCATGGGGTGACCCAGCCTACCTCTTGTAATTAAAAGTCATTTAATCAGAAGGGAAAAAAAATAATGTTTTCCTGGGTTGAGCTAAAGGCTAGGTCTTGGCAGCTTCAACCGTGGGTCTGTTCCCCTCCCCCGACACTCTGCGGAGCTAACCCCTTCCTCACCCCGGGAGCTTGCTCTAAACACAGTCCACCAACCACTGCCCTCTGTAGCCACCCAGGCGTAGGCAGTAAAGACCAAGCTGCTCTGGACCCAGGCACCTCATCCCCACTCCCTGGGATCTGTCTCTGTGCCTTGTATCAGAAACCAGTGCTCTTGGGTTAACTGGCTTTTTGGGCTATTGGCTGGGCCCTACCACCCCAACTGGGCCTGGCCAGCTCAGAGAAGGGCCTGGGCTGGGCCGGGAAAACCACTCACCTTGCCTTTTGGGAGGTGGCAAGCGCTGAGGGCAGCTTCTACCCGCTTGCGGTCAGCAGGAAACATCTGGAAAAAACTAAAGGAGCAGAGAAATTCAGGAGCCAAAGAGCCGGGTCAGACCTGGAGAGGGAAGGCTTCGAGGAGCTGGGCGGAAGTGTGGGGAGTGGGAGAGCTGGGGAGACTCACTTTTTCACAGGAATCTTCCCTTCGGGATTGAGCTGCATCTTGAGCTTCACGAGGCTAGTGGGGCGGAAAGTGGCTTATCAAGGCCCTGGGGCTGGTGCGTGGAGCCCCATATGCGGATGCCAGGCACACAGAGGCTGGGCACAAAGGCACTTACATTTTGTCCAAGAAGGTGCTACGGGAGGCATTGGCCGTCAGTGGGTGCTTGGCGAGGGCCAGCACATCTTCGGCCCAGCTCTGCGGGACCCCAGAGCACAGCAGTGAGACCCCTGGCCACACATGGATGCCCCCACCCCCTGCAGCCCAGGCCTGTCCTGCAGGAACCCCGAGCTACCCCAGGAGCCCAGCCCCAAACCTGCGCCACACACCTTCCCACACACCCTCCGGCGCACCTTGCCCACATTCTCCTTATAGGAGACGAAGTTGTGGAAGGTGAGGTCTACCATGTCAGGGCCAGACACCACAGTGAGTGTCTTGAGGAGGAAGTTGTTGTCGGGGAAGTCCATGTTGAAGACGTCCCGGAGCTTCTGGCTCTGCAGGAAGCAGAGACACAGTTAGGATCAGAAGCGTGCCCCTGTCCCCTCTCCACTGCGGTTCTCCCCATCTCTCCCCACCGCACTAGAACGGTGGCCATCTAGGGTGGAATCCCATCCCCCATGGGCCTCAGCATCTTGGCCTCCCTGAATCCAGGTGCTAGAGTGTGAGCTAAGAGCCCACAGGAAGAGATGAAGCCAGCACCCAGCCTGGGTGTGCTGAGTATCATGTTTGCCATTTTCCATTTGGAGATGGATTCTTAGCTCCCAGTCTCATAGAAGCCTGCTTTCCGCCAACCCCTTCCTCCAATTTTCCTGCCGGCTTTAGACAAATACAGGCAAGTGGGACGGGGAGGGCGGTGGGCATAAGCCACACTCCCAGGTAGTCTGAGTTGCTCTGGGGGCAGGACCTGGCCACATGACATCTCTTCACGGTTCCCTGGTACCAAAGCTCTGGCAAGCTCAGGGGCAGCCACACCCCTGCCTCAACTCAGGGAGGAGGCTGCTGCCCAGCCTGGGAACTCTTCCCCTTGCTGTAGAGATCAGGCTTGCTACCTCCACAGGGACTCCTGCTCTCTCCCCACGGAGCTTGTGGCCATGCTGAGCCTGGGCTGCCACTGGGCCCGCCTACCTTGGGTATCTTGGCATACTTCCCAAAGCGGGTATCCCTGATGTTGGTGATATCCAGAAACTCCATCTCCTGGAGCATGCCCCAGCAGGAGCAAAGAAGGGATGTAGACAACAAGGTCAGTGAAGAATGAAGAACAGAGAGGAGGGAACTTCCAACGCCCCTTCACATCTTGGCCGACTGCCTTCTGTAGAAGCCAAGACTTTCTGGTGGACCCCAACCTTCCCTTCCCACCAATCAGGTTCTCCCTGTTCATGGTGAGCCTCCTCCCTTCTTCTGTCCATTCCTTCCCTGGCCACACAAGTGACTCCGAAGCTGTGGCCTGCGATTTTGCCCACACTCTCCTGGACTCGTCCCAAGCTCCCCCTCCCTTCCCTACATTGGTGCTGAGACCCTTCTGGATCTGTCTGAGCCCTCAAGTTTCCCAGAACCACAGGTAGAGAAATAGGCTTTTTCCTTTCCCTCTCCCAGGGCAAATAGCCCCGGCCCACAGGAGCAGAGGCTGCCCCAGAGCCACCCTCCCAGGTCATCGTGTACTCCCGGGGCATTCACACCTCCACCCCTGCACTATCAAAAGGCCGCTTAGACTGAGCGCATCAGCAGGAGCTCAGGAAGGGGGCTGCCTCACCTTACTCTGATATGTCCAATATAAGTAGTAACCCTTGGGATCCACACGGAGGATAACTGGGGAGGCTATTGTAGTTTCCTATAGACAGAAGTGGTCAAAAGGAAAAGAAACAACAACAACAACAAAAAGACAGAAAAAAAGAAAGGGTCAGCTCTCAGCTCTGAGACCTCCGGCCAAGCTTCCCTGGCCCAGGCCAGGGTTTCAGAGCTCACCATCTCCCTGGGAGGCGGCTGACCAGGGACTCTGCAGGCATATTCTTTGCTCTCCAGAGCTCTGGGCTAGGCACAAGCCTTAAAACCTCTGAATCAGGGGTGAGGAGGGGGAGAGAATTAGAGATAGCGTTTCTGAAAGAGAAGTTTCTCCTCTAAATGCCAAATAGAGGTTCTCCTTCTAGACCCCAAACACGTCTCAGCCCCCACCTCCCCCTGTTTTCAAAGGCCACGGCTCAGCCAAAGTGGTAGAATGTCTCTTTGCAAGACTCAGTGCTGCCCCTCAGAAGAACTCAACACAGTGAAAGCTAAGAGCCCAGCTCCTGCACTTGCACGCGAGGCCCTACACCTGCTACCTGGCTTCCCACAGGCCCCATCCCTGCCTCCCCAAACCACTCCCCAAAGAACCCATCCCCAGCCAATCCATCCAGTCCATGTCTATGGTCTCCCACAGACCCCAAGCGCATTCCCACCTCCAAGCCTAAGAACCCAGCCCTCCCCTGCCTGAAATACCTTCGGAGAGCCCCCAAGTCTCCCCTCTTCTGAAAAGCCTTCCATGAAACACACTAGACTGGTCTGTATGTGGTTTGCACAGCTAGAAGCCTATCCATAAAAATCCCCGAGGGCTTGTGGACTCCAGGGAAACCAGCCTGTGCAGTAGCTAAGCTAAGCTATAAGTCTGTGTGCTAGACCCATGAGCTCAGGGCTCCCTGTTTGCTGAAGAAGCCTGGGAATGATCACCGCACTAGCTTCTAAACTCCCATTCCACTCACAGAGCGCACAGGCTCGCCTTCATTTTGATGGTCTTCGTATGCATATAAAACAAGATAATGAAGTTGAAGTTTCCAACAAGACATGGTCGTTGCTACCCACCAAACAAAATAATGTGCAGAATTTACAAAGGAAATGGTAAAAAAAAAAAAAAAAAAAAGTTCTCAGGTCAAGGATGGTTAGAGTCTG